CATTTACCTTGCTTTTCCTGGTTCTCTCCCCACTACTGACCCCCAACAACACCCATTCTTTCTTTGTTGTGCATGAAGATAGTATGTAAACCTGAACTCAGAGCCACCTCTTGGAGATTTTCTCATTATTCCTGGGTATTTCCCATGTATACATAAAGAAAATATTTAACTATAATTGTTAAAGCATGGCAATGTAAAAAAACAGGGATTCTTAATATTAATGAAAGCATTGTTTATAATATTACACAGATCCAGAGCAAAAGAAAAATAGGAAGTATATTAGAACACTTTGGTCACAAGTGCTAGATTATACTTATACTAAATTAAACATAAAAAATTATAGGCCGGGCGCTGTGGCTCACGCCTGTAATCCTAGCTCTTGGGAGGCCGAGGCGGGCGGATTGCTCAAGGTCAGGAGTTCAAAACCAGCCTGAGCAAGAGCGAGACCCCGTCTCTACTATAAATAGAAAGAAATTAATTGGCCAACTAATATATATACAAAAAATTAGCCGGGCATGGTGGCGCATGCCTGTAGTCCCAGCTACTCGGGAGGCTGAGGCAGTAGGATCGCTGAGCCCCGGAGATTGAGGTTGCTGTGAGCCAGGCTGACGCCACGGCACTCACTCTAGCCTGGGCAACAAAGTGAGACTCTGTCTCAAAAAAAAAAAAAAAAAAAAAAAAAATTATACTAGGCCGGGCGCGGTGGCTCACGCCTGTAATCCTAGCACTTTGGGAGGCCGAGGCGGGCGGATTGCTCAAGGTCAGGAGTTCGAAACCAGCCTGAGCGAGACCCCGTCTCTACCAAAAATAGAAATAAATTAATTGACCAACTAAAAATATATATACAAAAAATTAGCCGGGCATGGTGGCGCATGCCTGTAGTCCCAGCTACTCGGGAGGCTGAGGCAGTAGGATCGCTGAGCCCCGGAGATTGAGGTTGCTGTGAGCCAGGCTGACGCCACGGCACTCACTCTAGCCTGGGCAACAAAGTGAGACTCTGTCTCAAAAAAAAAAAAAAAAAAAATTATACTAAACTAAGCATTAAAAACTTATACTATTAAGCATAAAATAAGAATTTACAGGAAGGGTATTTGGCTTTGCTGCAGAATCAAGGAGCTACAATAACTCATGCAGCTTCCAGGATCTTAGAGATTGAAACTGGAGACTGGATGCCACCAAGTACTCCTCTCTTCTCATCTTCTCTTCTCTCTTCCCCTCTGCTTTCCTCTCTTCTATTCTCTTCTCTTCTTCTCTCGCTCTCTGTCTATCTCTCTCTTTCTCAACCTATCTCTCGTTTTTACTAATCTCTGCTTGGCTTCAAACTCTCCCATAGCAAACAGGATTTTGCACCATAGCAGGGGGGGAAAACAGATACCAGAAATTGTTATCACGTTCTCACAGCTCAAAACCAACGAAATGAAAAAATCCCCTTCCTCTGTTGATTGCAGTTAAAGGAATCCTGGGTAAAGACTCTGACTGCCCCCACTCAGGGATCATGCTCAGTCTGGACTAATCACTGAGTCCAGAGGGACTAGATAGTAAAATAGTCTCAGCCTGTGTCTTGTGCCCATCCCATGAGCAGGATGTTCTGGGTATGTTACAAGAATGCAGCTTGTTGATTAGTGTCCTAAGAACTCTCCCAAGTGAACTGACTATAAAAGGTAAATAATACATAACAACCACCATGTTAAATTAGTTACTGAGGTGACAATAAAGTAAGGAAGCTATGGAAGCCAAAAATAAAGTATTAGTAAAGGAAGTCTCCACCCCCACTCACACACATAAGAATGTGCCTGGGCTGGGACACTTCGTCACCAAGAGACGGAGCCCACACAGCCTATGCCAGGCATATCGCTTCGTGTGGGAATATCTTTTGCTGTCTCAAGTTCAATGTATGCTCCCTTGTTCTGCTTAAGCATGTATGCCAATGGCCCTCAGGCATACCTCCAGCTTTCAGTATTTCAGAGTTCATGGGGGAGGGGGAGGGGTCCTTCACCCGGCCAATTTGTGTATTTTCTTTGGCTAAAAGTCTCCGTAAGTCCTCTGCCTATTTTTTATTTTTATTTATTTATTTATTTTTTTGAGACAGAGTCTTGCTTTGTTGCCCAGGCTAGAGTGAGTGCTGTGGCATCAGCCTAGCTCACAGCAACCTTAAACTCCTGGGCTCAAGCGAGCCTCCTGCCTCAGCCTCCTGAGTAGCTGGGACTACAGGCATGCACCACCATGCCTGGCTAATTTTTTCTATATATATTAGTTGGCCCATTAATTTCTTTCTATTTATAGTAGAGAAAAGGTCTCGCTGGTTTCGAACTCCGGACCTCAAGCAATCCATCCGCCTCAGCCACCCAGAGTGCTAGGATTACAGGTGTGAGCCACCGCACCTGGCTGTCTGCCTATTTTTTAAAAATTGGTCTGTTTGTCTTTTAGTTGTTGAGATGTAAGAGTTCTTTATATATTCCGGATACTAGACCCTAAAGGGATGTATGACTTGCAAATATTATTTCCCATTCTGTTGGTTTTCTTTCCACTATCCTAGTAGTGTCCTTTGATGCACAAAGTTTTAAATTTTGGTGAATTCCAATTTCTCTATTTTTCTCGTTTTCTGTGGATTCATTGTCATATCCAAGAAATCATTGACAAATCCAATGCCGATAAGCACACAAATGCCAGCATGATCTTACCAACCAGGAGTCCATGCCCACCTGGCCCATTTGTGTCCACGTCCATCACCCTATTCTGCTATTTAACCCATCCCCAGGCCCCTAATGTCAATTACAGATCTGTTTTCTATCTCTGTGGTCTTTCCTTTTCTATAATGTCATAGAAATGAGATCATACATGCCCATTAGAACGGTTATGATGTAAAAAAAAAAAAAACAAAAAAAAAAAACCCAGACACTAACAATTATTGGCAATGAAGTAGAGAAATGTGAACATCGTTGATGGGGATGTAAAATGATGCAGCCAATGTGGAAAATACTTAGGAGGTTCTGCAAAATCTAAACATAGAATTACAGTAGGATCCAGGAATTGCACTCCTAGATATACACACAAAAGGATTGAAAACAGGTATTCAAACAAAAACATGTACACTTATGTTCATAGCAGCATCATTCACAATAAGAAAAAGGTAGAAACAACCCAAATGTCCATCAACAGATGAATAGGAAAACAAAATCTAGTCTGCCCATTATGATGGCATAATATTTGGCTGTAAAAAGGATTCCAGTGCTGATACTACAACATGGAGGAACCTCAAAAGCATTGTGCTAAAAGAAAGAAGCTGAACACGAAAGATCACACACTGAATGATTTCATTTATATAAAATATCCAGAATAGGTAAATCCATGGAGACAGAAAGGAGATTAGTGGTTGCCAGCATCAGAGAGACAGCAGATTGCTTAGTAGCTGCACAGTGGTAGGAGATTTCCTTTTGTGGTGACGAAAATGATTTGGAAGAGGTGATGGTTGCACAATATTGTGCATGTACTAAATGTTACTGAAGTGTACATCTTGAGTCAGATAATTTTATATTATGTTAATTTTACCTCAATAAAAAGTTCAGTCCCCAACGTTCCCTCGCCAGGGTCAGCCCTCTCCCCACAGCGCTCCCTTGGCCCGGCGTTCAAGTCCCTCCACCGTGCGGCGCTGCCTGCGCCAGACTCCAGCCACGCTGCCCACCAGCTCCTAAACCCACTGGCCTTTTCATCATTCCAGGTCCAGGTCACCTTCTCCCCGATGCCTCCTCAGGGCTCACGGGAGGGTCTTCTGAACCTTGCCCTGCCGTAAGGCGACCTCGGCACGTGGTCTCCGAGGGCCGTCAGTCTGCACAAGGAGAAGTCAGTGTGTCCCAGCGCCACCACGTGCAGGTGTGTTGCTCAGGGGACTCACAGCAACTCTGCGGGGTGTGGCTAGGCCCATGTGCAGGGGGGAAGGCGAGGTGCAGGTGGTTAAGTGACTCACCTGCAGTCACACAGCCTCCAGGTGGCTGCGCACTCAGGTTCCAGCCCAGAGCTGGGTCTCCAGGTGCCACTCAGGAAAAGTTTGTGAGTCGAATGAACGTGTGTCCACCACACTGGAGAGCGTCCTGGCCGCGGGGGTCACTTGTCTGATCACGAGATGGTCCAAGTCCCACATGAAGCCTCGCAGGCCACGCAGACACTGTTATAAATACACCACCCCGGGGCGCCCAGTGGCCAACTCCAGGAAGTGGATTCACACAAGTATTTTTATACTTGGTTAGAGCTGAAGGTGCTGCACCTCACCTCCATCCACATCCCGCCTACTCTCTGGACGCTAAAGATACATTCTGGGGCCTGCTTGGACCCCGCTAACCAGGAGCCGGCTCCACTGAGGCTCCCCACAAAACCTTGGGGGCCCTGCAGGCCAAGAGGGGTGTTCATCTGTGCCAGAAGGGGCTTTTGCCTTTGGGGGCCTGGGCTGCAAGTACTTCTTTCTGCCCAGGACACAGGGAACATGGGAGCCCCAGGAGAGGGCCCTATATGGCTTCGTGCCCAGAGACCAGCCTCCATTTTATCCTACCTTCAAAATCTTAGCATCCCAACCCCAGAATGGTCCCATCCCACCCTCTCTGGGCAGAGGATCCCAGCAGCAGCCCCAAGCCCAGCAGTCAAGGGCCGCTGTGATCTTCCTGGGGCACCCAGGAAGGGGATGGGGTGACCTGGGAGGGGCCACGGCACCTGGGGCCAGCAGGGATGGATGTGGAGATCACTGGCAGAGGCAGGGACAGTGTCCCCCAAAATTGTTATGTTGAGGTCCTAACCCCAGTACCTGCAAATGTGACCTTACATGGAAATAGGATCTTTGCAGACGATCAAGTTAAGATGAAGTTATTAGGGCCAGCCTTAAAACACTATGACGTATCCTTACAAAAAGGTCAAAATTGGACACACAAATACACAGGGAAGACTTGTGAAGATTGGAGCTTTGTTTGACCTGAGGAGCTCTTGTCAAAAAAAAAAAAAAAAAAAAAAAGATTGGAGCTTTATTGTCACAAGCCAAGAAACTACGAGGAGCTGGAGAGGGGTCTGGGGCCCTCTCCCTAGCACCTTCAGAGGGAACACAACCATGCCGACACGACTCCAGACTTCTGGACTTCACAGCTGTGAGTCAACAAGTCTCTGCTGTTCTGAGCCTCCCAGTCTGTGGTGTTTTGTTAAGGCAGCCCTAGGACACCAGTGCGGGCAAGTTCTGCTCTACCCACCACTGCCTCTTCAGACCACAGCTGCCCATGAGAGGGTGAGGGGCCTTCAGGTCACAGCCACTGCCGGCTGGTCATTCCTGCCCTGACCGTCTGGGAGTCAGCGCTCAGTCTCCTGGGGCCAGTGGGAGGACCAGGACAGGAGGGGCAGTGTCCCTGGAGCCATCCCCAGACCCCCACCTATGGTCCCTGGAGCCCAGAAAGCCCAGGGCTGGCCACATCACACCCCTCACACCTCCCCTGGTCCCTCCCCAGCCACCAACACGTTGGAATAGCCGTATGTCCCTTTTAATCTCAGTAGCAAAGGTGCCCCAGGAGGGCACAGAAAGAGGTCACACAACTCTTGGTCATAGGGTCTCATGGGTGGCCCCTGGGCCCAGGCTGGCCCTTTACATGGGTGAGAGCAGAACAGGCATGGGCCTCTCTTCTCAGACAGGCCGGGGTAGGGCCAGGAAGTGGAGAGGGGCTGCTGGGGGCTGTGGGCAGAGTGCTGAGGGGGAGGCCGCTCCTCACAGGTGCCGAGCAGAGAGGGTGAGGAGAGACCTGCAGCCTCCATCCAGACAGGACTGCTGACCACTGCATGGTGCCCCTTCCTGGGAGTTCCAGGCTCAGCCAAGGTCAGCTCCAGAGACTTTAGTCTATTTTCCCCAAAATGGACAGGATGTAGCTGACCGAGTCAGGGTTCTAGAATTTTCAGGACTGAGCCTACTGCCTGCCAAGGACAGGAGGGAGCACAACACACTGGAATCCCTCATGTAGCCATGCCTCTGACAGTGACCAGCTGCCACCTTGCCGGGTCCCGAGGTCCTGTTGGTCACAGGAAAGGCCACAGGCCAAGGCTCGGATGGGCCCAGGGCTCTGGGTATTGCCTGGGAGGGCCCAGGGGTGGGGCCCCTCATAGCAGCCCAAGGCACAGTAGTCGCTGCTGCTGCCCTCTGACTCTGGGGGAGCCAGCCTGGTGGGGGACACGTGGGTCCAGTCATCCTGAGGCAGGTAGGCAGGTGGCTGTCCTCCCACCTCTGTACACCCTGCTGGTAGCACGTCCTTGGAACTCCAGGCCCCCAGGGTCCCAGTGCTCTCCTCCTCCTCCTCCACGCCCACGGACTGCTGGCCAAAGGTAAGCAGTGCAAAGGCCTCCTGGACACCGGGCTCCAAGGCCCCTTGCGGGGTGCTGTCCTGGCTCCGCTGCACACTGGCTCTATGGGTCCCCGTCCAGGTCTAGAACAGAGCAACAGAGGAGGGAAGGGCTCAGGCAGCATGTTCAAGACTCACACTGGGAGCAGCAGCCTCCTCCCCAGCAGGCCCAGCCTCCCTCCTCCAGGAAGCCCTTCTGACATCCATTCCCAGAGGCCAAGTAGCACCTGTGTCCGGAACATTCTGTCTTCTCCCCATATGCCAGCCCAGCCTCAATATGGGACCCTGAGTCCCTTCAGGCCCCACATCACTTCCCCAGAGCAAGGCCTGGTACTCACGACAGCCTGAACCAGGGCACAGATGGTGACAGGTGCCAAGGACAAAGCAACCCCCGACAACATGCTGTCCCAGGGCTCCCAGCAGCTACAGACACTGGGCACCCCTCCCCATGCCCCACCTGCTCACACACACACAAGACAGCAGACACTGTCAGGACTGGCAATTTTCAAAGGCTGGGCTAAGGCCAGCAGACCTGGACCCTTCTGTGGGGCCGCAGGAGGCTACCCCCTCCAGAAGGAAGCTGTTGCCTTGGTAGGACCAGGAGCCTCCAACAAATGCACCTCACACTCCACACCCCATCACTGTGCTGCTCCCTGGAAGACCAACCCACGGCGCCAGACACCACAAGGGGATCTAACCCTTTGCACTCGCTTGCTTTTTTCTCAATTCCTTTATTCTACTTGGGATTTAATTTTTTTAAGATTTTTAATTTTTTTTTTTTTTTTTTTTTTTTTTTTTTTTTTTTTTTGAGACAGAGTCTCGCTTTGTTGCCCAGGCTAGAGTGAGTGCTGTGGCGTCAGCCTAGCTCACAGCAACCTCAAACTCCTGGGCTCAAGCAATCCTCCTGCCTCAGCCTCCCAAGTAGCTGGGACTACAGGCATTCGCCACCATGCCCGGCTAATTTTTTGTATATATTAGTTGGCCAATTAATTTCTTTCTATTTATAGTAGAGACGGGTCTCGTCTTGCTCAGGCTGGTTTCGAACTCCTGACCTTGAGCAATCCGCCCACCTCGGCCTCCCAGAGTGTTAGGATTACAGGCGTGAGCCACCTCGCCCGGCCAGATTTTTAATTTTTTAAAGACCCCAGATTTTACAAAGTGTGGCAATAGAATAAAAAACTGGAGTTTCTTTTCATACAAACATATTTATTTGGATTTTTTTTTTTTTTTTTGAGACAGAGTCTCACTTTGTTGCCCAGGCTAGAGTGAGTGCTGTGGCGTCAGCCTGGCTCACAGCAACCTCAATCTCTGGGGCTCAGCGATCCTCCTGCCTCAGCCTCCCAAGTAGCTGGGACTACAGGCATGCGCCACCATGCCCAGCTAATTTTTTTGTATATATATTTTTAGTTGGTCAATTAATTTATTTCTATTTTTGGTAGAGACGGGGACTCGCTCAGGCTGGTTTTGAACTCCTGACCTTGAGCAATCCACCCGCCTCGGCCTCCCAAAGTGCTAGGATTACAGGCGTGAGCCACCACGCCCGGCCTGGATTTTTTTATATTCCAAATTATTGATACATTCAGAGTAATTTTAATCTCTATAATTTTTGCTAACCATGTCGACTCACACTTGACATCTGAGTGCAAAGGGTTAAATCACCCCTGGAAAGTACCCAGGTTCTATTGTCTGCCACAGGAGGACACAGTCCAGGGACCAATCACAGCCTCTGCTTAGAGCCCTTTTTTTTTTTGAGACAGAGTCTCGCTTTGTTGCCCAGGCTAGAGTGAGTGCCGTGGTGTCAGCCTAGCTCACAGCAACCTCAAACTCCTGGGCTCAAGCAATACTCCTGCCTCAGCCTCCCGAGTAGCTGGGACTACAGGCATGCGCCACCATGCCCGGCTAATTTTTTCTATATATTTTTAGTTGGCCAATTAATTTCTTTCTATTTTTAGTAGAGACGTGGTCTTGCTCAGGCTGGTCTCGAACTCCTGAGCTCAAACGATCTGCCCATCTTGGCCTCCCAAAGTGCTAGGATTACAGGCGTGAGCCACCACGCTCGGCCTGCCCAGAGCTCTTGACAGTCACATCAGCTGCCCTGGGGAAAGGGGTGGACTCTCTCAAGAACCAAGTGCTGAGTGTTAAGCTTCAAATCATATTTTTGGACAAGAATCTTGAAAACTAGGCTCCCCATTGAGAGAGAGAAAGATTTTTCTGCACAATAAGCTGGAGCCATGATGGGGAGGAGATGCCCCTGCCCCACAGAGTCCAGGGAAGTGCTGGGGCAGCAGGACGTGGGACTCTGGGGAAGAAGGGGGCAGCTTGGCCAGATCCTGGGAGGGGCCAGCACCACCTCCTGTCCTTTGCCCAAAGTGAGGAGCCTGAGAGGAGAAACCAGAGACCACCCATTTGCACTCTCCTTTCCCCTTCCTCCTACCCAGGAGGCATGAACTGCCAGCGCAGTGGAGAGGGAAGTGTCTGCACAGACCCTCTGAGTTGCTCACGCTGGCCTATGGCCTGTGGGAGCCCAGCAGGGCCCCTAAAGGGGGAAATGGCCAGCATGGTGGCCACGGTGCCGGCATGCTCTCTGGGGACCAGAAGGGGCCAGCACTCCACACAGGCCACCAGAGCAGGAGCCCAAGGGCCAGTGGGAACCCCGAGGGCAGCACAGACACTAGAAGAGACCCTCGCCCATGGCCACAGGACATAGACACCTTTGCAGAAGGAGAGGTGAGACACAGGGTGGGCACAGATAACAGCCCCACGGTTTGCACCTTGAACTAGCAATTTACCTCAGCTGCAAACAAGAGGGAACAGAGAAAAGTGATGAGAAAGTTACATTTTTTCTATCAACGGTGAAACTCTACATAAGAAAACAAAAATAAATCTGCAATGGAAAATAAAGCTAATTTTTTTGCCCATTTGAGACACAGTGTGTAAATTTAAACCGATTATATATATACAAAAAACGCTCAAAGCACTGACAAGGTCCCCACGTGTGGCCCCAGCCCTCACCAAAGCCAACGTCCCGGGTAGGCCACACCTTTGGGCAACACCTGCCCCAGGCCCTACAGTTGCCATGGTACCCCACACACCTGGAAGTTCCCATTATGCACACTGTACAGGGGCTGGAAGAACAGAGCTGGAGAAGGCACGTTCTGGTAGAAGGTTCTCTTCACCCTGAGGCCAGGAGAGGACAGTCAGAGGCCTACAGGGATCCCGTAGGGGCTCCTCCTGAGGCCCCACTCCCGAAAGCCTGAGGTCACTGTGGGAAACAGAGCTCCCTTCCACCCAGCAGATGGCCTGCCTGCCCATCCTGCCGCTGCCTCTCCCCTCTCGCTGCATCCAAACCTGCTCTCAGGGCAGGAGACCCAATTTGCATCCTCCCTGGCTAACGGCCCACAGAACTGATCTGCACCAGTGCACGCGGGCTGTACAGCGTGAGCTGATGTGACGGTCTGTGCAGGGGCAAGCGGTGGCCGGCAGGATCCTCAGCCGGCAGCGGGAGCCAGCACCTCCGGGACTGTCTTTGCCATCGGCAGGTTTGCGGCTCCCACCCACTCGACGTCTCCCTCAGCACCAGATCTGCCTGCCCAGAACCTACCGGTCCTCCGAGGCAGGTGGCCCACAGGGCTCCAACCCAGCAGGACCAAATTGATCTCATGAACTCCCCACAGGCCTCCCCCTCAATTCCCCACCTCAGGGCTCGCCACTCACAGCTCATCCACCAACATCCCACCGTTTCTCCTCCCAAAACCCTGGCACTTCCCTCCACTTTGCTCCATCTCCACTTCTCTCACAGGCTCAAGCCCAGTCATCTCTGCACAGGCAACCCACCAGTGCCCACTAGCCTCCCAGCAGCCCCCCACGTCCCCTCATACCCAGCAATCCTTTCTCCAACAAACCAGATCACATCATGCAGCTCTGTGCTTCAGCGCTCTCCTCGTCTCCACGGAGAAGCCAGGCACCTTTCCTCCTGGCCCCACCCAGCACCCTCCCCCATGCCCGCTTCCTGGCATCCTCTCCACCACGGACGTGGGGCCTGTGCTCCCTCTTACAGCCTGACATATGGCACATCAGGCAGGATGGCCTATTTGATCTGTCTTGTTTTCTACAGCATCCACCAGGTCTGAGAACAGGGTCTTGTACACACCAGATGCCCAAAACTGCATTTTCATAGAATGCAAAAACAAAGCAGCAAACCACCAAACACCTCCAGAGGCAGGACACAAGGACCACTCGGGGCCAAGCTCATCTTTGGCCTCTGCACAAACCCCTCTTCCCCTGTCTCTCCTGGCAAGCCCCAACTGGCCAGGGTGGAAACCTGAAAAGCCCACCCCATTTGGGACCAGGAAGTAGAGAGGGGAGGGTAGAGCAGGGGGGGTTGGCCCTTGATGCCCCTCCCCCCACACCCTCACACATACATACACTAATGCATTCACACACATACACTAACATACATGCACACATACACACATTGGCTACCTACCTGGGTGACAGCTTGAACAGGAGGTAGGTCAGGCCGGTCAGCAGGAGAAAGATGGACACAGCAACAAATGTGCTGTCTGGCCGGCCCCAGGGTGGGATCAGGGGGGCTGTGGGCAGCAAGGACCGAGGGCCGTGAGCAGCCTCAGAGCTAGAAAGCTCTCCCCAAACCCACATGACAAAGGAGCCCCCATTAGTGCCTTGGGTCAAAGTGAAAATTCTATGACGGGCTTGGCGGACTGTGTCATGCTGCTGAAGCGCTCTGGTGGTTCAGAGCCCTGGGCCTCACCCTTCTCGTGTGCTGTGAGGCCAGCTGTGAGGTCCGAGAGCCCTCCCAGTAATGCTGTGCACAAGGGTCAGCCCGAGGATACCGAGGTCACATCCAGCCTCCAGACTGAGGCACCGGCTCTGGTGTGCAGCCCTGGGCCACTCTCGCTCCCGATCACAGCCACTGACTATGGGTTCCCAGGAAACCAACAGGGTGGCAGGTGTTTGTTTCCTCCTTACACAGCTCAGCTCTCCGGGGAAAGGGGGCCGCCTGGGGCATGACCGGCTCAGGAGGGAGTTCCAGGAGGGTGAAGGGGCAGAAGACTAGAATGAACAGGGCAGAGGAAGCCCAGCCAGACCCCGGAAGCACAGCAGCCGCAGCAGCACCCACCTTGTCTCTGCGGGGAGGGGAAGCACACAGGCTGGCTCCACTCGCTCCACTGACCCGCGTAATGCTCCCCCTCTGCCACGTCATCCTCCAGTGTGGCCATCTGGACACGAAGCCTGGCCTCATAAGTGAAACCAGGGTCCAATTCGGTGGCTTCAAGGCTGAGCCAGGTCACCCCAATAATGTGGTCCTTGTGCCGGGCCCACTGTAGGGTTGGGGACATAGCAGGTGCTGAAGGTGAGGCTGGGTCCCTCAGCCCTTGAGAATGTACACACATGCACACGCAGGAACATTTATGCAGACTCATATAACACACAGAGACACGCTTGTGTTCGAACACAAATACACCTATGCACACACAGTCACACACATCTACAGGCACATTCTCACACTTGCATGCACACTCAGACACACGGGTGTGCACAGAGGTACACTCACCACACTCACTGCAGTCACATACACATTCATGCACATATGCATACCCATGTGCACACTCACACATATAAACAAAGGCACAGGCACATCACGTACACTCACATGCAAACATATCTGTGCACACACACACATAAACACACATGTGCACATGCACACTCACGTGCACTCACTCACAAAGACATAGATACACTCAAACTCACCCTACTCTCATACACACACACTCACACACAAGCACATACATGCATACAAAAATGTGTGCATGCATGTACACATCTGGGTCTGGTCTCTCCCCTCCTCATCATTCCAAGCTGACATCTCCCTGTGAGAGTGGGGAGTCTGCCCTGGGCTGCTGCTCCCAGGAGACAGAGGCCCTTGGGGAAGCCAGCCCAAGTGTTACCTCCCAGGCCTCCTCCTGCCTCTTGAAGGCCAGCTCGTAGCTGAGAAGTGTGGCCATCGGCTCCAAGGCAGGATTGATGCTCCAGGTCAGGACACAGTAGCCAGAGCTGACGTTGCTCTGCAAGTCAGAGGGAGGGTCCAGCTTAACTGGAACAGAGTGAGGCCATGTGAGGCCAAAGCCCCATGGGTCTGGGTGTGCCGCTCAACACACCCAGGACTGGGGTCTGAGAGATTCACAGGGGCAAGGTCAAGGCCCTCTCAGATCAGGTGCCCCCCTGGGAAACTGGTCCAGAAAAGCCCCCAGTGGAACAGGACAGCAATGACTTCCTCCAGCCCCCACAGCTAGACAAAGTGGTTTCCAAATCTCACCTTCCCTTTCCTTCACAATCTGCTGCCAGAAGTTCTTCCCAGCATCTTACTGGAGTCCTTCCTGCTATGACTGCAGTGCATTTCACATAACTCAAACTGTAGCCCCTGCCCTGGCTCGCAGCCCTGTATCTCTGTCCTCTGCCAAAATCCTGCCCCTGCTGTAGGGGAGCGTTACAGGGGCCAGGGGAGCGAGTGGAGCTAGCTGTGTGCCTCCCCTCGGTGCTTCTGGGGTCTGGGCTGGGCCTCCTCTTCCCTGTTCATCCTGAACCTCTGCCCTTTCACCCCTGCAGTCACCCTCCCCTCCCAGGGGCCCAGCTTGCTTCCCACCCTGGGCCTCACTTGGCTGAGCCTGAGGACACTCACTGGGCCACACGGTCACAGGCTGTAGGGCCCTGCCCAAGCCCCCAGGCAGCCGGGACGTTCCTGCCAAGGCTTCCACCGCAGGCCTGCAGCGCCCCTGCTCACCATGTCTCCGGGGCAGGTACTGAGGGTCCACCAGGCTAACCAGCTCCTTCCCAGCGACGCGGCGGTGGAAAGTGATGGTGAAGTTGTCCGAGGGCACGAGCACCCCCTCGGGCGGCAGCACCACAGTGCACTCGCTGCCCTGGAAGACGCACTTGTACGCACCGCCTGGTGCCTGGTTGCTGGAAAGGGGAGGCATCAGCACCGAGGGATTGCTGCACCACCCCGACCACAGCTGCAGCTATCGGGGACCCACCCTCATCCCTGTCCCACGCCGGGGAGGCCTGGCCCTCCACACTCACTTGGTGAAGAGGAGCCAGGGGCTGGAGCCCTGGCCCAGCTCTGGGGCAGACCAGTGGCAGTCGATCCTGAGGATGTTGTTGGTGAGGCAGGTGAATGTTCCAGCTCTAGGCCCTGGGGACAGTGACCGTTAGGAGCCCACAGTGGGTGCTTCTGGGAAGAGCTGAGCCGGGTTGGGGGAGGATTTGACAGTTGACATGCCAACAGGGTAGTTGCCAGAGAACAATCCCAGGAGAATTCTTTAAGGGCAAAGCTGGGAGCCAAGGAGGTGATGGGCTCCACCCCACGGTCCATGGGCAAGTCAGGCCCAGAGAGGCGGCAAGAGGGTGAGGCTGGGGAGACTAGAGGTGGTGGGGCTGAGGTCCAGGCTGACCCCTGAAGGACATGGCCAGCACAGTTTGGACTAAAAACCCTTCCCAGAGGCTCGACAGAGGGCAGGCCTGTCCTAACCATGCCCTGGTTCTCCGCCCACCAGACACAGGCACTGATGCCCAGCCCTTACCTCCTCCTTGCCCTGGGACAGAGGCTCCCAGGCAGACACAGGTGCAGATGCACATGCAAGTCAGGAACCAGGTGGCCACATCTCGCCTCAGGGCCTCACTCTCCAACATCCAACCTGCAAGGCACCGGGCTAAGGGGACTGGGGTAGGCACCCACCCCTGGGAGTGATACTGCCCATGAGGTGCTCCACAGTGGAGTGCTCTGAGCGGGGCAGCACCTAGACCTCACTGTGTCCTGTGAAATAGGCTGTGCGCCACTGCCCAGCCTTCGCCAACAGGAGACTGAAGCTCAGAAAGGTCGCCAAAGACTCACGGACTGCTGTGTAAGATGCACCCTTAAACTCAGCTCTCTTGCTGGGTCCTGGACTCAACTAGGTCTCAATGTCTGGCTAGAAGGCTCCTCTCAGGGACTGGCATCCTCTTCCAGCCCATCCGCTGTCCCTGGGCTCAGGCTCCCTCCTGAAGGCTGGAGTCAGCGTTGGGGGAACAGGTCACTACTAACAACCGCCACAAGTAAAAGTTACTGAGCTTGCTGGTGCTACACCCTGTGCTGATTGCTAACATGTAGTTTCTACTTAAATTCTCACAACAGCTCTGTGAGGGGGAAACACTGTCCCTATCTACAAACAAAGAAGCAGAAGCCCTTTGCCCAGGGTCACATAGCTAACCTCTAGGCATTCTCTCTCCCTTTTGCCTCCTTAGATAAAAACCCATCCCAGGGTTCTGCCCCAGGAAAGTGGACAGGGAGTCCATGCAACAGCTGGCACTTCCCAAACTCCGTCACATCCCTGTTCTGAGGTGCCCTGCAAAGGAGAGTGCTCCAGAGGCAAGGCTCGCAGCTGGAGTCCTGAGCCCCGGGATCCTTCGGGCACCAGAGGTTGGCTGGAGATGAGGGGCTGTGTATCAGGAAGTGCTGGGTGTGGGAGGCTGCCGACGCCCTGTCACCCGTTTGCAGCTCCAGATGGTACACTGATAGCCCCTGAGCAGGAAGCAGGGCCAGCCTGGTTATGTAAAGCTGATTAGTGATAAGGAGGAGAAAGAGAAGCAGACATGCACACACACCACAGCACGCACACCCTCCGTGGGCAGCAGGCTCTACTCCAACCCACCCCGCCCTGACTCCCAGCAGCCTATCCACACGCCGCAGGACAGACCCTGTTAAGGCCAATGATCGAGACCTCATCCTTCGCTAGAATGGAGTACCAAGCCTGGCACCACCAGCCACGCATAAAGACCGGCTAGTTCTCTGCAGCACTGCCGGTCCCCTCTTGTAGCAGTTACTGGAAAGGCGGGGATGGGGAAGGCAGGGAAGCAGCCTTAGCAGTCAGCCTGCTCTAAGGGTACCAGAGGGGGCAGAGCAAGGTTGAGCCCCAGCACCCGGGGAAGCTCAGGCACAGCAGCCACTTCCTGACTGAGGGTGGACAACCACTGCCCCAGCAGTGGAGGGACACTCACCTCTGTGCAGAATCAGGCCAGCCTACCCACAAGCTGACCCAGGAGGAGGTGGCTGGAGAGTAGGGGGTGGCATGGCTCCAAGCTCAGCAGGCCCTGTGGCTAGAACAGGGGAGGGAGAGGTAGGGCAGGACCCTCACCTGACACCTGAGAGCTGCAAAGCAAGAGGCCGGGACACACGTGGGGGGAGCACCAGAGAGCTGGGCACAGCCACAGACAACATGACCATCTGGGGGAAGGTCCCTGCTTCTCTTCTGCACAGAAAACTTCCATCTATACCCAGTAAGCTGGGCAAGACAGAGTCACCACCCTCCTACAGATAAGGAAACTGAGGCCCAGAGAGACCTGGGACCTGCCCAATACCTGGCCACCTGACGCCTCTGTTCTTGGCATATGTCCCACCAACATCCATACAGGCCTGTGAGATTCTGGGGAGCAATGCCTGGGAGATGCCCCTCGGCACATACCCCCACAGAAGACTCCACAAATAGGGCAAAGCTGCAGGCAGAATCCAAGCTCCCCCTCGCCCAGAGCATCACTGCCCTCTCTCTTTGGGGCTCCTCAGGCATGAGGTGGGACATCACTGAGACAGGGTCACCCCTATCCTCAACCACCGACAGTAGGCAGGCAGGCAAGGCAGGTGCAGACACACCCACCACATGCTCCCTGGTCCTGGATGGCACCAGGGAGGTCTGACCACAGCTCAGACAATACTAGGCCACAGGACGGCTGTGAGGACAGGAGAAGCCAGTGACTGCCACCTGGGACAGTGCTGCCCCTAACACCCCCAGTCCTGCTGGGGAGCCTGGCTGACATCATGCCCAGCACAGTCTCCCCTCTTGGGTCTGTGGACATAGCCTATGGCCACTCTGGTCCCATCTCTGAGTTGAGGTCTGGCCCAGATGGCCACTGGGCCTCACAGCCTGCATGGCCTAGTGTCCTTGGCTATCGTGAACTGTGGGCTGCCCTGTAGCCAGATCCCTGCCATAGACCACAGGCTGTACCAGATCCACAGGAGCTCCAGACAGGCTCAGCCCCTCACCTGCCCTGGCCCTCGTGCCCTGAGCACTCACCTAAGGCCAGGTGGAATCTCAGGCCAGAGCAGGCAACAGTCATGGAGGCTGGGCAGGCAGCCCTAGGCTCCTGGTGCCCCAGCACAGTCTCCCAGTCAGTTTCCCAGGTTGCTACGTCCACTTACTGCGACACATGCCCATTGCACACACTGTAATGGCAAGGAGGGGATGATACCTCCATTCTTCTCCTGGCCTACCCAGGAAGCTGGGAAACGTAGAGGTGGATGGGATGGAGGTTGCTATTTAAATGAGCACTTATCCAGCACTGTCTTCCCTCTGCTGGGGGAGGATGAAGAAATGCAGACCCCAGCTCACCAGAAGCAGCTGGAGCCTGGAAGCTGCACCAGGAAACGAGGCTAGAAATCGGAGCAGGAGCTGGTCCCGCTCTGGGCCACACAGGCCTCCTCTGGCACCTGTGGGGACCGCTGATGCTGTTAGGCAGAGTGTGTGAGGACGCTGCTGCGCAGGCAGGGAGCAGGAGGGGCGAGGCAAGAGGCCAGCGGGGGCGAGGGCAGAGACCACAAACAAGGACAAACCGGGCACGTGCAGAGAAGACAGGAGGGAGGTGACACTCTGAGAAGGGGAGAGGGTGGTGTTGCCAGCGATGCAGAGGTATTAGTGGACAAAGGTGCAGACCTGAGGCAGAGGGTCAAGTGGAGGCTGCAGGTCAGGAGCACCGTCCTCTCTGCCTGGCTTCCTTCCGCATCACATGCCTCTCCCTTTACAAAGCCCTCCCCCATTCTCCCTTCCCAGCCGGATGGCACCTCTGGGCCAGGACCAGCCTGCTGGCATTCTGCATAGCCCTGAATTGATAGGGTCCAAGGGCTGGGCAGGGACCACGGGCCAGGGTGTTGACACAGCTTTCTTGGGAGGTCTGGCGGTTAGATGGGGGGAAAGCTGCCCCTATTCTTCCTGCTGTCTTGGTGCGGAGACACCTGCATGTTGCGCCTTCTGCCTAGCACTCCCCACCAGCGCGGGCAGCCTACTGCAGTCCAAACTCATCACTCAGCTGTGTCCCCGCGTTAAGGCTCCTTGAAGGTGAGAATCTGTCTGACTGAGGTGGAGTCCTGCGCACCCACGCCTAGCTGCTCACATGCTTCCTAAACCTCCCCACAGAGGCTGCCCCTGCCTCTGGATGGTGTTCACGCTGTGGGCATGTGGGAGGGGGCACTGGGAGGATACCCACTCTTGACCCCCTGTGGCTAAGCTCTGGCCAGAGGGTGAGGTCAGAACAGCTTGAGTCACAGGAAGAGCGAATGGGGTCAGGGAGAGGAGAGAAGGGTCCCAGCAGGGCCCACATCCTCAAGCTCATCACAAGAAAACAAGTCCAGACCCCAGGAAACTGAAACGGTGATGTTTATTCCATAGCAAACCCTCTCCTCTCCTTCATCCTGGTGGCCGAGTTGAACCTCCTGGAATCCCACCCTCACCTTTGCCCTGCCCACCTGCCTCCAGTGGGGCATCTTCATCCTACCAGCTCCTCATCTGCCCTGAAGCTCCACAAATGCCTGGGGACGTGGAGGGGCTCTACCGACCCCGGGACCTAGACCTCGGCTCCACCCCATGGCCATCACGGCAGACTCCATCTACTCTAGGAGTGCCCACTCCACTCCCCACAAAGGTCAGTTCAGTCGTCAGGGAAGCACAGTTTCTTCTGTAATGACGAATTCTACCTGACAAGCTCAGTGCCCTGCCCCCTGTCCAGCTGAACGTGGACACACTGGCCACAGCGGCACCCCCAACCCCCACAGGCATGGAAGTTCATTTGTAATTCTTATGGTCGGCGCTGCAAATTTTGCCATCTCTGAGAGATGCCCAAGGCCAGGACACTAGAAGAGGGAAAACTAGGGTGGCGCTCTCAAATGCCACCCTGCCACGGGCTGTTCCCTCAGCCCAGGGACAGAGGGCCACTCGTCCCTCTGCCTCCAGAAGCTCATGCTGACTCAAGAGGGTGGAAAGCCCCAAGTACACTCACCTTCCCAGATGTATCTGCCCAGTCCCATCACAAGTCTGAGGCACCCCCAACCTGGAGGTGACTTGTCATCCAACTGTCCCTGAGTGTGCAGCAAAGCCCCTCAGCCTGATTTGGTAGATAACTGCAGCAACTGGTGACGTGAGCTTTGCACAGCAGGCTCCCACAGGCCGCCCACATCTGAAACCACGAGCACATTGCAGAGCTGCTGTCCCAAGCAGAGCCGAGAGGTGACTGTCACCACTAGTCATCTAAGGCAGGGAATTGTGAGGTGGAACACCCTTTCATTCCCCACAACATTCAGGATTGCCAGATGTGAATCTCAGTGATACGTCTCTTGCCTGGCAAATGAGCGTCCTCTGTGTTCTTGCCAAGAAACACCACTGAGGTATACTTGACCAGCCCCGGGAGGCGGGGATCCTGGCCAGGCGTGGAGCAGTGGCCGCATTCCCTTCTACACTTTCCTAAGACCAAAGGTACAGGCTCAGCCATCAGCCTTGCAGCCTTCTTGTTCCTCTGGCTATTTGCAACATCTCTCTAGGTCAGGACATAAAAACCCACCTCATGCCTTTTAACGGCAGTATATGCCATGGTTTAATAATCCCTGCAACGCACATTTGGATTGTTGCCTGTACTCACTATGTTAAATGAAGGTAGTAAACAGTTATGGTTATGGATCTTCAATCAACAGAATGAGCACTTTTGTAGAAAAATCGCTAGGGCAGAATTGTGGGGTCTCTGGGTTAGCATTTTAAAATGCTGATACACCAGTGCCTGGCTAGCTCCGTTGGTAGAGCATGAGATTCCTAAAAATACTGATAGAGACCTGGCATAGTGGCTCACACCTGTAATCCCAGCACTTTAGGAGGCCACAGCACGAGGATCAGTAGACATCAGGAGTGCAAGACCAGCCTGTGAAACATAGTGAGATCCTGTCTCTACAAAAAATAGAAAAATTGGCTAGGTATGGTGGTGGCACCTATAGACCCAACTACTTGGGAGGCTGAGGCTGGAGCATCCTTTAAGTCCAGGAGTTAGAGGTGCTGTGAGCTATGATCACGCCCCTGCACTCCAGCCTGAGCAACACAGCAAGACCCTGCCTATCTCTAAGTAAATAAATAAATACTGGCCGGGCGCGGTGGCTCACGCCTGTAATCCTAAGCTCTCTGGGAGGCCGAGACGGGTGGATTGCTCGAGGTCAGGAGTTCGAAACCAGCCTGAGCAAGAGCGAGACCCTGTCTCTACTATAAATGCAAAGAAATTAATTGGCCAACTAATATACATAGAAAAAATTAGCCAGGCATGGTGGCGCATGCCTGTAGTCCCAGCTACTTGAACCCAGGAGTTTGAGGTTGCTGTGAGCCAGGCTGACGCCATGGCACTCACTCTAGCCTGGGCAACAAAGTGAGACTCTGTCTCAAAAAAAAATAAAAAATAAAATAAATAAATAAATACTGACAGATACTGCCAAGTGGCCCAACAAAGATTTTGCACAAATTCTACTCTCACCAACAGTAAACATTATCAGTCTCTAATCTTTGCCAATAGGACAGGCAAAGATATTTCAGTTTTGTTTCAATTTGCACTTCCTTGATTATTAGTCAAGATAAGCATATTTTCATATATTTATTGGCTGTATTCTTTAGTGTCCCAAATAAGGTCATATTTCAGTGTGTGTGTTTGTATATGTATGTGTGTGTTTATATGTCTACGTGTTTGTAAGTGCACACATGTGTTCCTGTGTGTGTAGTGTGCATCATAAACTCTTTTTTTTTTTTTGAGATAGAGTCTCGCTTTGTTGCCCAGGCTAGAGTGAGTGCTGTGGCGTCAGCCTAGCTCACAGCAACCTCACACTCCTGGGCTCAAGCGATCCTCCTGCCTCAGCTTCCCGAGTAGCTGGGACTACAGGCATGCGCCACCATGCCCGGCTGATTTTTTCTATGTATATTAGTTGGCCAATTAATTTCTTTGCATTTATAGTAGAGACAGGGTCTCGCTCTTGCTCAGGCTGGTTTCAAACTCCTGACCTTGAGCGATCCGCCCACCTCGGCCTCCCAGAGTGCTAGGATTACAGGCATGAGCCACCACGCCGGCTGCAAAACCTCTTTTGTAAGGTCTGGGTAAGACTACAGCTCTCTGGAGTCTAAGAACACCAGGACCCATGAAGAGATGGAATCAAAGGCTCACACCCATGAAACACCTTAGCAATGACTAGGGACATGTTACATTTCTTTCAAATATTTAAATTTTAATCAGCTGTGCACCCATCTTACCTACTACAAGCATATACTTTTATACTCACTGGAGCCATCCCTTCTTTAGTATCCCTCCAAGGAGAGCTTCCTTCTTTCTGTTAAGGTCCCTTCCACCTTGCTGGAGCTAGATTTTACTAACTTAAGACCAGCAGACCACACTACCCACACCCTAACCTCAAAAGTGGAGACCACAAGGTATGTATAAGGAGGAAGGAAATCCTGGAAAGAAAAAAGCTAGAGAGGACAGCCCCAAGTTATGCATCTAACTCTACCCCAACCCCTGGATGACCCCTGAACTACACATGTGCAGGCCAACTCCAAGTAGCCCAGCCAAGGTTAAGCAATATGAACACAAGTTTCAGCTGCTTTCCACTTCAGAACACAGTTTGCAGGCTGCTAAAACAAACAAAAATAAAACAAAAAAACTAACATTCTCTAGAGAAACAACAGAATCCATAGTCTCCATAATGTGTACCACTCACAATTTCCAAGATACATACAAAATTAGTAGACACGAAGAAACAACTCTATGGCCAGGCGCAGTGGCTCATGCCTGTGATCCTAGCACTCTGGGAGGCCAAGGCAGGTGGATCATTTGAGCTCAGGAGTTCAAGACCAGCCTGAGCAAGAGCGAGACCCCATCTCTACTAAAAATAAAAAGAAATTAGATGGACAACTAAAAATATATAGAAAAATTAGCCAGGAATGGTGGCACATGCCTGTTGTCCCAGCTACTCGGGAGGCTGAGGCAGGAGGATCGCTGGAGCCCAGGAGTTTGAGGTTGCTGTGAGATAGGGTGACGCCACGGCACTCTAGCCTGGGCAACAGAGCGAGACTCTGTCTCCAAAAAAAAGATACAACTCTGTGACCCATACTTAAGAGGAAAGACAATCAATGGAGACTGACTCTCCTAGAACCAAGTTGTTGGAAACAACAAAGGTTTCAAACCTTACTCAAACACATCAAGGAAGATAGGCTCCCAATGAACAGACAGGAAATCTCAGAGGAGAAACAGAAACCATAAAAAAGAACCTAAATGAAAATGAATAAGTGAAAAACACATCTTAAATAAAAGGAATAAATCGGCCGGGCGCAGTGGCTCACACCTGTAATCCTAGCTCTCTGGGAGGCCAAGGCGGGCGGATTGCTCGAGGTCAGGAGTTCGAAACCAGCCTGAGCAAG